GTGAGATAAAATATTCTGTGACTGTCTATTTAAACATCTTATGTTAATACTATGAAGTGTTTGTTCAACTTTTATTATTCTTTTAGTTCTGAAGTAGCGAATGCTCCCAGGCATGCCAGAGTACAGCAAATCCAGAGCTGCAGACACTGCATTCAAACTAAACTGGGGCTGAGCAGGCAGGGATATTTCTGCATAAGGGGACCACTGACATTTTCCGGCAGAGAGGCCGCAGCTGGGAAGAGCTGAGCAAAACAGTAAAAGCTGCTGTCACAGCCACTTGCGCAATCGCTCGGTTTTCCCCAATTATTTCTTACTTGAATTTGTTGCTTCTCTCTGCTCTTGATCTAGCTGCTGGAAAGCTGAGGTTGCCTGGTGAGCCAGGAGTGCTGCTTCAGAAGGGAGAGGGTGCTGCTGGAGTGTGGATGCTCTGGGCACTGCTGCTGGACACGATACTGTGATGAGGTGACACAAAGTGGGGGTATCAGCAGATATTGAACCCCTGATGCAGCCTGGACAGGGACAGTGGGACTGTTCCCCCCTGGCTTTGGCACAGGAGTGTCAAGGAACTGCCTTCAGCTGAAAGCCCAGGTGATGGTGAGGCTTCTGCTGCCTCTCTCACGTCAGCCCTCACCAACAACAGATTTATAGCCCAAAAGGCTGTCAAAGGACAGCTCTCTCCTTGACAAAAGCACATGAGAAAAAAAATTGTCAGGGTGTGCCCAATCCATCTGTCATTGAGGAGATAGGCTCATCCTATAACTTAATGCCATCAATCACTAAGACCAAAGGTAGAGATCAAGGCTGCTTACTCAGAGGAGTACCTGAGGCCGTGTCTAGTCAGGCACACAGTGACAGCCAAATAAATTTCCTTGGTATGGTCCCTGGGGAGCTTGCACTCTCCTCCAGAGCTCAGAGACATGCCTGCTCTGCAAGGAGCCCTTGGACTTCTCAGGGAGTAGTTACTCTGCAAAGTGCTTACAAGGATCATCTTAAAGCCCATGGAATAAGTTCAAAATAGAATATTTCAGAAAAAAAAATCCATCTACTTGTCTGCAGCTGCATAGGAATCCCATACTCATGGGTGAAGGCAGCACTGGGAGCACCACAAGCAGTGTGACAAGGGCTGCAGGTATACAGGCTCCAAATTTGAGTTCTACACATTCTTGATAAGCTCCTCCTCTAGTTGTCCCTTCCTACATTTCTTTTTTTTTTTTTCCTGAGAAGAGCTGAGCTTTGTTTCTCCTGTGGAATCACCACAGCACTGGGCTCTGGAGGCCAGGAGCTCTTGCCCAATATACAAGTGTGAGTTATCTCCCCTTAGTGCCTCATGCCATGTGTCCAGACTGGCTTTGCTCAGCTGGCAGGCTTTCACTCCAGCAGCCCGTGATGGTTCTGCCATCAGACCCTTGTTCATCAAGGCCACACAGAGCAGCAGATCTCTCAAGTAACACCTCCATGAACCTGAGTGATTGCACTGTAAAAACAACCATAAAGGGATGTTGCTCAGCTTTGCTTCCAGCATTACTGCTCAGCTTTCCTCATGAGGCATGATCACCCTCTTCAAAGGAAAGGGTGTAAATCATCATTTGTTTTCACTTTCATTCCGGAATGTGCTGAGTCCTCTGTAATAAATTATATTGCTCACTGTAAAAGAAAATCCAGAGGCAGCTCTGCGAGCCTCTTGAGTCCCTGAGTTGCAGGTGATGGGAGAATTCAGTTCATCACCAGAAACACCTGTGGGTGAGTGCACTGAGATGAGCCACCCCACAGATGAGCAAGGCATTGAGGACACCAAAGCTGTTAGAGACACACAGATCCCAAGGCAGCCAGTCCCATCCCTGTCAGCTCCCTGAGAAGCTGAGGAATGAGCTCAGCCTGGACCAGGTGCCTTAGTAGGTACCTCATTGCTCAAGGTTTGTCTATACAGGATTCTTAAGAAAATTAAATTGAATTAACTAAGTTTAAAGTAGGACATTAAAATTCTGCATAAAATTCTCATTCAGAATTAAAGCGGCCTTAATTCAGTTTAATTTACTCCCAAATGCTGCTAAATAAGACCATTTAAGTTGTCTTTAATTAACATAATGGTCCCACATAGGCTTTTATAAATGAGATTTAATTAGCCCTTTTTTAGAAGTGAGTTAGCTGCCTTGAACTTCCATAGGGAAGCAGCCAGGTCCAGGGCCACTTTGCTGACAGGGCTCCTGGTTGTGGCTGGTTAGCAGGAGTTGCAAAGAGCTGGCATCACCTCCCAAGGAACTGGCACAAGGCCAGCTTATTCCCCACCAGCAGATAATGGGAGCCTTGAATATCAACTATTTTGGCTGGGTTAAATGCATGAGTGGGAGATGAAAGGCTCTGCCAGAGGATGAGCTCTTCCTTTAAAATCTGGGACATGGGGGTGGTAATCCCTAGCAAAATGTGACATCAAGGTTTTGCAGACTTGTTCATGAAGAAGGAACCAGGCTAGAGGCAAGCTTACCGTGAGTCAGCAGAGAGGGGGATGGAGGTGGAGGACGGGGAGGGACTGACCTCATCCATGGGCTCCTGCTCTCACAGAGCACTTTGGGCTCCCCGCTGCCCCTGGATGCTCTACTTCCTTTTTTGCATCCCAAAATTTCCAACTCAGCAGGATGAGATGCTGCTGGCTGCTCTTCATGACCATCCTGAGAGCACCTGGCCTTGCCAGCCCCTGTCCTCCCCTCGGTCTCAGGTTCCTGCTGGAACAGCCTGGTGTTTTCTTGTGGGGACTTCCACCTCTGTCCTGTGGCCACGGACGTGTCACAGAGGGACAGAGGCTCAGCAGTGCCAGCTGACAGCCTGTCCCACTGCAGAAAGGGCATGATGCAGCTGCCCTGCTGTGGGCACGGCACTGCATCATCATCATCATTGTCTGGAGGTGGAGAGCCTCAGTGCATCCACTATCCCAGCAAAGTTCTGTGAATCTTCATATCCTCAGAAGCTGCACTCACCACCCTTGCAGTACCAAAAAAAAACCCCAAAAAAAGTACTGTTCAAAGCAGTTTGCAGACGTGAAAATGAAAAAAAATAGTCAAAATCTCCCATAAGGAGCTCTGAGGTGTGACCGGCATGTGACTCCCTCTGACTTTTTGGGTGGAGAAGCCAACAGCCTCCCTCTCTCCTGGCTTCTCTTTCACCAAATTAGAGCCATGTGGCTGCTGCCACTGCTTTGCATAAATCAGGAGATTCAGCTTTGTGCCTCTTCCTTGGGGTATGTCCTATAGGAAGTACATCTGTGGCCATACTTTCTGGTGCAATAGACTTTAGCCTGGAAGCAAAAGCACACAAACAATGCTAAATTCATGCTGACTGGAGTAGATTCCAAAGGAAAGAAGTGTTGGGAAAGCACCTACTTAAGAACTGAGCAAGGATTATCTCTGATCTGAATCTCGCTCTGTGTGTGTGTTACTGTTGAGCACACAGTGCGGTTTCAGACACGGCCAGAGACAAGGAAAAATGATTGTTTCGGGGTAACCACAAGGAAGATGAATGCAAATGCATTCCTGTAACTGGGAGAGTTCCTCGCTCCCGAGTTGGGCTCCGGTACATGGCCTCGGGGAAGCAAATTTGCAACTACCTTCATTAAATTGTTTAGGCATGATTAATCAGAAGTCGGAGATGCGAAGTTTTAGCACGTTTCACAACGTAGATTTTAACCCCTGCAGTTCCACGCAGGTGCGTTTTAGCGCTTGGCCAGGGGCAGGCACCGGAGGCTGAGAGATGTCTCCTACCAGCGCGTATCTCCTCCGCACGGCCGGGTTGATAAGCCACCAGCGGCTGAATCACGGCCACCTGCCTCGCTGGGACCCAGGCGGTGCAAGGGACATGTGTCACGGCGCCCCGCCCCAGCAGCGACAGCACCGGAGAACCGGGCGGGGCGGGCCGGGCACAGGCTGGCGCCCCACCCCTCGCTCTGCCCTTCCGCCCTGCTGCCGCTCCGGTATAAATAGCCGGCCGCCTGCCACCCTGCTCCGGCCCCATGGAGAGGCAGCGGCAGCCCGGCGGTGGCAGCGGCGCGGTGAGCGCGGGGCTCGGGGCGGGGGCTCGGCCGGGAGCGGAGCGGGGCGGGGACGGGACCGTGACCGGGACTCGGCCGGGAGCGGGGCGGGGACCGTGACCGGGGCTCGGCCGGGCTGCGGGGCCGCTCCTAACGCCGCTGTCGCCGCACAGGTCCCGGCGGCGAGCGGAGGCCGCGAGTCCCCCGCCGGGAGCCATGAGCGCGGGCAGCGTCGCCCCGGGCTGGCCTGAGGCGCTGCCGGGTGCGGCCCGGCCCGCAGCGGGGATGAGCGGCTGCGAGAGCCCCGAGGGGCCCGGCGACGGCCCTGAGCTGCAGCTGAAGGTGGATTTTTTCCGCAAGCTCGGCTACTCCTCGGAGGAGATCCGCGTCGTGCTGCAGAAGCTGGGCCTGGGCGCCGACACCAACACGGTGCTGGGGGAGCTGGTGAAGCACGGCCCGGCCGAGCGGGACGGCCCCGAGGCCCCGCCCGAGCCCGGCGAGGCCCCGCTGGTCCCTCGGGGCGGCGCCGGCAACAAATCCCCCGCGCCTGGCCCCGAGGAAACGGAGAGCGACAACCTGAAGCCCATCGTCATCGATGGCAGCAACGTGGCCATGAGGTGCGTCCGGGGTGGGCGCGGGGCTGTCGGGCTGTGAGCTCGGGCTGTGAGCTCTGCCAGGCGCGCAGGGCTCGGAGACCAAAAGCTGTGAGCGCCCCGCTCAAAGCAGCCGCTTCTGAGTGCTTGGAAGGGGGCTGTAATATTTTCCAAGGTGTTTCTCCGACACACGAGGACGAGCATCACGTTTGCCGGTGCGGGCCTTGCCGTTGCTCTGCCCGCCCAGAGCCGCCAGTCACGGGGCAGTGGTGAGGGCAGCAGTGCTTCCTTTGAGTTTCCTTTGAAACAGACACTTCCTCCTGTGCTCTGGCAATGAGGGGATAACTGAAGAGACGTTGTCTTCTCAACTAGTGGCTTTGTGTAAGTTTCCGTAGCAGGAAGTTGCTCAATAAATAATTATAGGGTTAATTAGAGAAGCTTGTAATATGGAGCTCCATTGGAGACTTGTCTCCAAACTGTGCCTCTTGTACATTGGTGAATTTCTGTACAAGGTAGAGAGCCTTGAGATGTTGCAGGTGTCACCAAGGCAGGGCTGTGACTCATCCTTAGCATTTCATTTGTCCCAGTGTTGCTGGAGCAGGTCCTGTTGGATGCTGTGACCAGAGCCCCCAGTATCCATGAAGCATCCAGCATGTCAGGGCTGGATATTTATTGTGTGATGTCCCCATTTTCACCCTGGCTTTTGCTCCCACTTTGGTGAGCACTGCTTGCCCTCACCCCAACCCCAGCAGTATGTTTCCCACCTCTGCACAGCAGACTCTTGAAATTTAACACACCAGGTTCTGAACTGGGTCCTGAAAGCTTTTTTCTGTTGCAGCTCAGAAGCCGCCTCCTTTGTTGTTTATGTTTGTGTATGCAGATTTTATAAAAAATAACCCTGGGTGCGGGTGGAGCTGCCGCGTCGGTTGCAGTAGGTTTGTCTGAGGTGAAAGTGCTGCGTGGAGGTTTGTTTGCAGGTGTGGTTTTTGCCAAGCCCTGGCTGACAGTTCTGAGAACAGAACTGAGAAAGATGGGGCACAGGTGAGCCCCGCGGCGAATGAGGAATGGTGGTGACAGTGGAACAGGGCAGGAGAGAGAAAGCTGTGCCTGGCACCCCTGAAGAGAGCCTGTTCCAGTTCCTACCCTGTCCACAGCTCTGGGAACACTGGAAAATGGCCTATTGTGAGCTCAGGCTGATAAGTGACTCTGGCAACAAAGTTTACCTTGGATAAGTGCTTGGGCTTTGCCAGCAGGATTGGCTGTGTTTGTTAATGAGGAGCCTCTTAGTGGTGAAAGTTACCCCAAAATGCAGAGGGGAAATCACAGCAGCTGTGAGTCAGGGCAGGCCAGAGCCCAGGGTCTGACATGAGAGAAGCAGTCTGGCTTTTTTAAGCAATTCGCTAGAAGGGGAATTCCATTCTGAAACTTCCTGTATTGATGGTGTGATGTTCCCTGCTGATTCATTTTCAGTATGTACAGCGGCCTCCCTCAACAGCTCTTGACAAACTTATGCAAATCATAGTGGAAATTAGCTTTTACTTCCTTCTAAGGGAATTTTTCCTTGGCTGCTGCCAAATCAGATCAGCCCAATTAGCTGCCTTCTGGAGGTTTGAGGTTGGTTGCAGAGACTCAAACAATAAGAAACGACCAACAACCCAAAACAAAGACAAACAAATCCACCAAAAAGGATTTGTTTTTCACATTTTTCTCTAAAAAATTGTAGTAACCTGTGCCTGGCTATTTATAGCTAAATCGATCTGATACTGGAGAAAACTTTTAGAGGATCTTCTGATGGTGATTTTCAGCTTTCTGTAATTCAGGATTCTTATTGAAGGTGTGTTAGGTGCCTCTTTAGGTGTTAGTTCTGTTGCCAAGTGTTTAATTCTTCTAGAATAAGTACTTTTGTACAGCTCTTCAACTTCCTTTGTAGTTTGAAAGAAAGGGTGAGGCTGGGAGGGGAACTGAAACTTCTCTGTAGTGGTGCTGCAACAGTGCCACTGCAGGAATGGCTCTGGCGAGGGGCTGGCCAGGGGTGCTGGGGGCTGAAATGCCATTCAGGTGCAGATGGAAGGAGGAAGATTTGGGACAGGTAGTGCCCGGGTGAGGAAAGTCTTCCTGAATTCTGAGAGCAGTTCCCCTTTTGGTGTAGTGCATCATCACACAGCATGGGCAGTTGGATCCCCACAGTGACATATCAGGCTGGAATAGAAGTGTTGAAGGTTTGCCAAAACCACTATCAGCAGAAGAGCTGATTGCACTGTAAATACTAGTGCTTGTAAAACAGGAGGGGTAGTTTCCTCCTAGAAGTTCTGGAAGCTTATTGATATGACCTAATGAATAATTAAGAAGCTTTTTGCATCAGTACACGGCTTCTGACAAGGTTGTCAAACTTTGTTCTCTAACTGCCATGAGCTGTTCTCTCATCCAGCACTGATGGCAGGAGATGATGCCATTTAGTGCAAATAGTGCATTTGTAGATGAGGTTTTGAGCCATCGTGGAGTGAATCATCTTTCCTTGAGATGAGAGTGCATATAAAGTATATTGTTTTCCTGAAGTGTTCAGAACAAGTTTGCAAAGGCCCAGTGAGGGTGCAGTGCACCCTGGCAGGAAGCAGCCACTGGCATTAGCTGTCAGAGTAGCACAAAGGGCTTTTGGGTCACATTGTGCTCTGGGCTAAAAATAACCATCAGAAGTCCAGGCTTGAAGCAGAGACTGTTTCAGAGCAGCTGCAACAGTTCCAGCTGCTGTCTGCCTCCCAGTGAGTATTTGGGTGTTTACTGGTTTCCTGAGGTGCTGACATGAACGGGGGTGCTGGGCAGGTCTGAGTGAGGGTGTTGTTACACAAGACAAGTATCTGTGTTTGCTACCTGTGCTCCTCTGCATTTCACTGAAGCTTGTCCTAGTTGCCAGCTCCCTTTGCTCTGTGCGCTGCCTGACTAGTGTGCACTGAATCATGAAGGGATTAAAGTCTTAATTTCTTCCTTTTCAGCCATGGGAATAAAGAAGTGTTCTCCTGCCGAGGTATCCTTCTGGCTGTCCAGTGGTTTTGGGACAGGGGACACAAGGATATTACAGTCTTTGTGCCATCGTGGAGGAAGGAGCAGCCCCGACCAGATGTACTCATAACAGGTATGAAGATATGGAAACCAAAAGTAGCTTTTCAGGCTGACTGCTCTGTCATTCAGCGAGCTTGCAGAGTTCTGGCTAAGTCAGTAATTAACTTCAGAATGGAAAGTCTGAGTAGTAGGAGCTGCAATGAGCTGAACTGACCAGGGAGTATTAGTCATTAACTTCTCCCCTAAGCCAGCTTTTGCCAGAATCAGTTGGAGTAATTCAGAAAACAAGAAATGTAATACTGCTCTGCTTACTAACTTCTTGTCTTTTATTTCTTGATATTTTTCCTCTTGCAGGGACATGCTTTGTATTTAACTGAAGCGTATTTAGTCAGAATTATTCAAACTGAGGGGAGCTTGCAGAGAGCTGAGATTTTAATAACTCAGAACAGCAATGAGCAGGGCTGAATACAGTCTGGGTTGCGGAGAGACAGAATGAATGTTTTTGTTTATTTATAATGTTACTTTATCTGCATGGAGGGCTATAGTATTCAGGGCAACCCCAGTGAAGGGGAGAAAATGATGCATCTGACTTCATGGATATCAGAAAGCTGATTGATTACTTTATTGTGCTATATTGTTCTATATTATATTACACTATATTACGTTACATCTAAACTGGATCTGCCAAGCACACAACTGCACTCCACTGCCCTCATCTCGTGACTGTCACCGACAGTCCCCACACACACACACACTTGGCCCTGATAGGCAAGGAAACAAAACCCCATCACTCTGGGTAAACAATCTCCATATTGCATTCTACTTTTGCACAAACACAGGCACAGCAAATGAGATGAGCATTGCTTTTCCTTTCTCTGAGGTTCAGATTTTCTCTGTGAAGCGAAATGTGGCTACAGAGGGCCGCGCTGACCGTTGTGTTTGCTCTAGACCAGTACATTCTGCGTGACCTGGAGAAGAAGAAGATCCTGGTGTTCACGCCGTCGCGGCGGGTGGGAGGCAAGCGCGTGGTGTGCTACGACGACCGCTTCATCGTGAAGCTGGCGCACGAGTCCGACGGCGTCGTGGTGTCCAACGACACCTACCGCGACCTGCAGAACGAGCGGCCCGAGTGGAAGAAATTCATCGAGGAGCGCCTGCTGATGTACTCCTTTGTCAACGACAAGTATGCCTCGTGCCTGCGGTTTTTAGCAGGTTTTAGGTTTTTTTTCAGGTTTTTTGTTTCTCGTACAGCATCAGTGCGTAAGTCTAAACTCCTTATAGAGTGTTAGTAAGCTCTTGTCACGTGTTGGTCAGATCTTGTATTTGCGGGGTTCCCGGCTGAAGGAAGGAGTGATGCATCTGACTCCGTGTTCTCAGAAGGCTAATTTATTATTTTATGACCTATATCATATTAAAGAATACTATACTAAATAAATACAGCAAGGATACTTACAGAAGGCTAAAAGATACTCATGAAAACTCGTGAGTCTTTCTCCAGAGTCCCACACAGCCAAGTAAAAACAATTCATATGAAATCAATGAAATATCCACCTGTTGGTAAACAATCTCCAACCACATTCCCAAGCAGCAAAACACAGGAGAAGCAAATGAGACAAAATTGTTTTCCTTTTTCTCTGAGGTTTCTCAGCTTCCCAGGAGAGAAATCCTGGGCAAGGGGATTTTTCCAGAAAATATGATGGTGACAGTCAGACAATATAATCCTTCTGGGTCTGAGAATCAAGAACATCTTCTGCCTCAGGCCCTGAAATGTATAAACAAAATTGAATTGGGGGAAGGGGAGCAAATTGGGGAATGTTACTTCATTACCTGAAGCTGTAATTGGACAATTAACCCCTGATGTGCAAATAGACCAAACTTAGATCTGTCTGAAAAACTCATGACCATGGTCCATCTTGGGTATAGCCTGTGTGAGGCTTTTGCACTACCCAAAGTGTACTTATTGAAGGCCTTTAATAAATACCCACTTTATTCTCCTAACTCTGGCTAGCCTCTGCTTTAGGTAGCCACTCCACGGCATCATGATCACATTTTCCTGGGCTTTTCAGAAAGATCTGTGTGAACACACTGGCTTGTTCTGATGAAGGTATTCAAGTGATGCATGAGAAGAGCAAAATGCTAGTGAAGAAATAATGAAAAGCTGTAGGATACAAAGCCAAAAGTAGTTGGTGATATCTTGGTAGCTGCTCCTAATTTAGAGGTAGGAGCTCCAAGGAGAGCCTCCAGGGTGTGATTTCCTCACAAGACAGTTGTTAGCAGCAGGTACTAATTCTGGTTGACAGCCAAGCATGGAACTACTGTGCCTGAAGGGAAGCATTTTGTGCTTGTATGGACTGGGTGGCAGGAGAATTATCTCTGGAGGAAATGGGAGAGCTTTGTAGGGCTCAGATAGCTTTTGATCTTTAATGAAATAGGAGGCTTTGAGAGAAAACCAAACCTCAACTTAGAAAAGTGAACTGCTTCTGACTGAGATTTGTTTTACTTTAGGTTTATGCCTCCAGATGATCCCTTAGGGCGTCATGGCCCCAGCCTAGATAATTTCCTCAGGAAGAAACCTGTAGTTCCAGAACACAAGAAACAGCAGTGCCCTTATGGTAAGACCTGCCTTCTTAATGTGAAGACCAAGGTGTCTGTGCAAGTGTCTTTCATAATCTAGTCAAATTCAGCTGGTCATTCCGTGCTCTGGCTTTCCTTACAGGGAAAAAATGCACTTATGGAATTAAGTGTAAGTTCTACCATCCTGAAAGGATCAACCAGCCGCAGCGCTCGTTAGCTGATGAACTCCGTGCCAACGCAAGGCTGTCTCCAACCAGAAGTACCAGTGCCAAGGAGGAGAAAAAGGGGAAGCGTGGTTCCCAGGCAGAGCTCTTGTGCTCTGTGCCCACGGAGAGTGACAAAGGCTCTTTACAGAAGGTCTCTGCAGAGAGGAAGAGCTTGGCCCACAAAGCCAAGGCCAGTGACGTTGTGCTTCAGGCCAAAGGCTGTGTGCCAGGCACTGTCTCCCCTGACAGGTACCAGCAGCCTCCCATGGATTCTCTGTCTTACATCTCTCAGGAGCATCTCGACTCAGGCATTGGGTCTCTGGAGAACCAGCTGTCTGACATGTGGCCTCACAGATGTACCAGTCACTGTGACCATTCCCACGCGGAGCAGGTGCCCGTCTGCTCCTGTGGCAGGCAGAGACCTGTGTACCCCCATTCCCCCAGCTTAGAGCAGAACGGTCTGGTCCCTTACAACCACAGCTCCCACAAATCGTCATCCTCTGGTGCTAGCTTCTTGCAGTACAGCCCTGAGATGTCTCGCTCAGGGGCTCCCCCCTCTTTCTCGGGCTTTGGGGTGCCTGTGCACGCGGGGCAGTACAGCCTGCCCGGGGAGTTCGGCGCCGCGCTGCCGCGCTCGCGGGAGTTCTGGTCCGAGCCGTACGCGCTGCCGCAGGTGAGATCCCCGGGCGTGCACAGCCCCCGCCCGGTGCAGAGGGCCCCGGGGCCGGCCTACGGGGACTCGGGGCCCTGGGCTGCGGAGGAGCAGTTTGCTGAGGAGCGGGCCAGCGTGCACGTCAAGCTGTGCGGCATCTTCCACCCACACCTGGTGGATGCCGTCATGAGCCGCTTCCCCCGGCTGCTGGACCCCCAGAGGCTGGCAGCAGAGATCCTCACCTACAAGGCCCAGAACCCAGGTGTGTGAGGCAGGTGCCAAGGGCAGGCAGGGGTGGGGAGAGCTTGAGGGGCTGGGTTTGCCTCTGCAGCTGCCACAGATGCCTTCTGAGTGCTCCTTCTTGTTCCCTTGGAAGTACTGGGCTCCAGCTGGAGGCTGGGTGCCAGATGTGGTGTGCTCACAGCAAATTCTGCTCCAGCTATGACCACATGCCTGTGGGAGAGGTGAGAACACCCCAGCATCTCACCTTCCCCAGGGGCTAAGCAGGAAGGGAGGCTGCAGCTCTAGAGCAGAACTGTTCCTCTGGGGTTCATGGGAGTCTGGCACACCCTGAGCTCCTGCAGTTGTCCATAACTGGATGTGAGAGAAGTGGGTGCTGCCTTTGTAGTGGCCTAAGGCTAGTTTCTGAGGACCCAAATGCCTTGTCAATGCTGTTGTTGGGTCCTGACTAAGCCTCTTTACTAAATCCCACCGTTCAGATCTGTGGCAAATGCTGCATTATTAACGTAATCTGAAGCTGGGTTTATCTGACTGGTTTTACTATTGCACTTCTTGAATGATGTTTTCCACACCCCTCCCACCTCAACTGATTTTCCTGAGGTAGTTGTGCCCCATGGACCACAAGTGCTTAGTGAGCTCTCAGCTGCCAGGAGCACAGTCCTTGCTCAGGAGGAGCTGCTGGACACTGCTCCAGAGCTGTGTGTGAGTTGTGTGTTGGGTATGTGCTGACAGCTGCAGTGTCAGAGCAGGTGGGTGAGCTGAGCATGCTGTGAGTGCTGCTCTGGAGCTGTCTCTGTCCCAGGATGGCTCTGTACAGCACTGACAAGGATTTATTATGTGCCTTTTGCCTTCAGACAGCAATAGAACAGCTGCAGTCACATCTGGACTGCTGCCAGGGGCCTTTCCAAGGAGTCTTTAATATTTTGTGTTGTAAAGCTGTTGCTTTCTCTTCTTCCTCACCAATATTCCCCTGTCCCCTTTGGCTGTGCCCAACTAGAGCAGCATCCAGAATTGTAGAATAAGAATTACTTGGCAAGACTGTTTCTGTTCCATTTCCTCTTACTCTGTAAGATGTTTTCTATTGTAGGTACTGTAAGAGATTTTAAATATGCAAAACCAATTGCTGTAGTAATTGGTTCTGGTCCTGGAATTTTGCTGTGCAAGGGATGCAGAAATGTTCCTGGCACTTGCAGGCCAGAAGCAGTTGATTTGTTGATACACATTGTATCTGTGTGTGGTGTTGTTTTCTAAATACAATACACCCTTCTGTGGTTAAACCAAGGTTATTGAGTGGCAAATTAGGAAGGGGAGAGTGGTCCTGAAACCCTCCTGGGAGCAGTGTTGTCTGTTCCTGCTCTTCCCTCTGCTGTCCAAGGAATGACCTGCCCAGACTGGCACCATGTGCCATGAGACCACAGGGACACAGGAACCTGTATACCTGGTTAATAATGATACATTACAAATTAGTAATGTTTCATGTTAGTAAGCAAAATGCTTCTTAATTTTAAATAACCTGATACTTTGCATATATGTAAATTACAGATAAAATGGTTTTTAATGTTACTGTTCAGCACCTTGCTGCTTGCAGTTTTAATCAATGCTGTTCTCACCTCAGCCACATGTTACTCGGCAAGGTGGGTTTGGGTTTCTGGTGGAATGCTGGTATCTGCTGCCTCTCTTGCAATGAGAAGATTAACATTTTGTGCTCCCCAGCTGACACTTGCTGAACTTTCTGTATCACTATGCAGTATAGTCATGTACTGAATAGCCATGTGACAGCCCTGGCAAAGAAAAACTGTGTTATATAAATAAAAACTGCTGAGTTGACATATTTGGTCTCTGGTGGCTTTGTGGAGGAACGTTCAACGTTTTGGTTGGCTTTCTGGGGAAGCCAGGGAAATTATCCTTCCTCCCTGAGTTCCTCTGACAGGCTTTGATCTCTGTGTGCAGTGTGAGGCTGGTTATTGACAGGCTGTTAATCGATGCAGTGAGACCAAAACATCCATGTGCTGTGGCAGATAAGGGCATGTGCAGTGTCTGCTGCTGATTTGGCTTCCCTGGGGTTGCTCCCAGGGCAGGTGGGACAGGCAGCAGCACTGACTGTCACTCACCACCACAGTGTGGGTGTCTCCAGTGCTAAAGAAGCATTTATTGCCATTTAAAGCAGCAGAATTGCCACACTCCTGGCAATTTTGGAAGCAGCATGGACTGTGTTTGGCTTTAAGGGGCAATTCCACAGTGCAGCCTGGAAATAAACACATATTTTATCCAGTTACAGTACATCTGTGTTGGATGTTGAGTGTGGAATATGTGAATGGTAATGTGTCCAGGTTTTGCTCTGAAGATTTGTTATGGACTGGAAGTGCAGCAGGAATATCAGTGCTCACCTTGTGGTGTAAGGATCTTCCCCTCCCACCTGCTCCCCTGCAGCACAGCATGTTCTTATCTCACTGGTTAAATAACTTTATGGTCTGTATTGAAACTTGTGCTCTTCATTTACCACAGGGCAGTGACTCTGTAGTTAATCAGAAACCAGGGAGGCAGGTGCTCCAGAGACCAGCTGCATTTCAAAACAAACCTGCAGCTCTCAGTCTGAAATCTTTATTGACTGTGTGAGGAAGCCTGTGAGGCTGTCACTGCAGTGACAGAGCTCATGTGGCTCTGTGTGTGTGTGTGGTGGGGGGATGGAGTGGTGTGTCAGGGATCTGAGCACACCTTTAACCAGGTGAGGAGTTTGCTGCTGTCTGTAATGGCATCTGTGGTTGAAAAATGCTGCAGGATTTCAAGGCTGATGTTCCTGTAAAAGGCAATAGGTAATTCTAGTTTTACAGGATGTGTAAAAGGGTAAGTATTCGTTTTTGTGTCTCAAAGCTGCACTGAGAGACAATTAAAGGAATCAGTGCAGAAGTTCATTATCACAACCAGGAGAGGAAGAGCTGGAGCTGACTGACTCTGGTTGTGATGTTTCTACTGCAGGGACAGTCCTGGGGGCACATGGGGTGGTTTGGGAGGGTCAGGCCCCAGCACAGATGTGGTTGAAGTTTCTCCCCCAGACTGCTGTGTGTGCTGCTGGGGCAGCCAGCAAGCCCAGCTCACTCCCACTGCTGTGCTCTGAGTTTTGTCCTTCATTCACACAAAGTTCTGTGTCCCCATTCCCCAACTCACTGTGGTGCCAGAGATCTGGGAAATGGGAATGCTGATTGGAACTGTTGCTGCTGCACATTTTTTCCCCTAGACATTCCTCAGTGCCTGGAGTGGTGGGGCTGCCTGCCTGCACTTTGGCAACCCTACTGGGGCTGTTAAATTGGAGTTTTTGGGGTGCATCCTCTGGTTTAGCACTTCCTGGGGCTTGGGGGCAGAGCCTGCTGTGACTGCTGGGTGTTTGCTTTTGGGTGTTTTGCCAAACTAGGTCAGATCTCTGTGTCAGCTCTCTGGGCTGCTGGAGAGAGAAGGAGGTCACACTTGGGCCTGTTGAAGGTTTCCTGTGCTCAGGGGCTTCCCAGCCCTCATCCTGTCAGCTGTGTGCCACTGAAGCCTCGTGCTGAGCTTCAGGAGAGGCTGGTTCCTCCAAGCAGGCCAGTCTGCTCTCCAGGGCTTGCTCATCTCTCCACTGCCCTGTGCTGCCCTTGCTCCCTGAACTTCCATTTGAACTCAGCTGGTTCCTCCCCTTGGGGCTTTCCAGGATGTGGCTAGCTCAGTTCCAACATCTTAAAGCATTTCCAGAGGCAGGAATGGGGAAGACTCCTGTGCAGGCTGTGGGGAAGGGGATGGGGTGTGTGCACCATCATTGGGGTGCAGTGATGGGAGCAGATTCAGCATCCACCCCCTGCTCCCCAGTGCTGAGGCTGCTGAGCTGCTGCTCTCCCTGCAGAGAGGAATGGATGTACCAAGCATGGCAGCAGCTCTGCACCCTGTGCCCCAAACTGCTGCTGCAGCACAGCCTCCCTGTGAGACAGGAGGGCAGGAAGAGAAGGGAAAGGGCTGGGGAGGAGCTGGGTGCTGCCCCAGGGCAGTGGGGGGAGGCTGGGGTGGTGATGGTGGTGCTACCCGTTTCATTTCCTCTTACTCTCTATGTTTTCTATTGTAGGTACTGTAAGAAATTTTAAATACCTAAATTAAATTACTATAGCAAAATCAATTGCTGTAGCAGTCGGTTCTGGTCCTGGAATTTTGCTGTGCAAGGGATGCAGAAATGTTCCTGGCACTTGCAGGCCGGAAGCAGTTGATTTGTTGATACACACTGTATCTGTGTGTGGTGTCAAGATGCTGTCAGCACTTGCCCTCCAGCCACATGCTTTTCAGCTCTCGCAAGCTTTCCTGAGTACCTGAATACCCCGGTGTTCCCCAAGGCCAGGGGCTGCCCCTGGAAGCCAAAGCCATGTCTGGGGCAGCAGCAGCGTGACAAAGGCACCGAGGGCCCTGGCCAGGGCTGGGGAGCAGTGTTGCACAAGTGTGCTGGAGTAAATGCAGCCTCAGGTTAAGCAATAGGTCAGGAGGCTTTGGCTGGGGAAAGGTTTCTGTGTCCTGTGTGGTGGCTCTTGCCTTGCTGCAGGGGCTGTGGGGAGGGGCTGCAGAGCTGGTGGCTGTAGCTGATGCTGCTTGATGTCACCCTCCTCCTCCTGTACCCTGGTCCCTGCAGGCTGGCTGGGGATTTCCAGCCCAAGGATTGCCACGGAGGGATGAATGGAGGCTAGAGCAGGAGCAGGACATTGTCACATCACTGTCTGGTGTCCCCGTGGTCCTAGCATGGAGATTCCTGTGATTCCTGCAGGAGTGCCAGCTTGGGGCCCCCATGGCACCTGCCAGCTCAGTGGCAGGACCTGGATTTCTGTGGCATTTCTGGGCAGCACGGGGCTGTCCCTGGCTGCGGGGTGAGTCAGGCTGCTGCTATTGGCGTTGCATCAGTTCCCTGCATGTGGGAGCTGCACGGGCACGTTGGGAGGACAGATCCCTGCCAGCCCTGCTGCTGCTGGAGCCCAGCCCCTGCTGTGGGTGGGTGCTGCCCCTGCTCTGCTTCAGTGAAAACTCATCCTGTCCCCCTCCCCAAAGAGCTGGGGGCCTGCAGGGCACTGGTGCAGCTGTCCCAGCTCTGCTGGGGAAAGACCAGGCAGACACAAGCGATGGAGAGCAGCTGTCTGTATTGAGCAGTGGCAGCCTGGGGCAGGGTGCAGCCCCCAGGCCCGGGCACTGGGCAGCCCCTCAGCCCTGCAGGCTCCTGGGCCAGTTGTTCTGGCCAGCCCAGGGCCCTCAGCCGTGTCTGGGAGCCGGCTGCCCTTGACCGCTGTCCCAAGGAGCCGGCCCAGGGTTGCGACATGTGCAGGAGCAGCTGGAGAGGATGGATCTGGCCCATCAGGAAGTCAGTGGGTGAGTTTTGCAATCCCTCACCCCAGTGCAAGGTGACTGAAGCTGGTGCTGATCAGACCCTTGTTCCTGGAACTGCCAGCAAGCAGCAGAGTGGGAGGATGCTCCTTGGTGGGCTTCACCAGGCGCAGTCAGCCCGGGCAGCCCTGGGCAGGGAGGGCTGTGACATGTCCTGGGACAGACCCAGGGCCAGTGGCTTGTCCTGACCTGCCTCCAGCTGGCTCCTGCTCCTGGGGAATGGCTGCAGCTCTGCTGGTTTGGGCTGGGCCCAGCCAGCACCAAGGGACGGATGGAGGCACATACAGGGATAGAGCTGGGGCTGCAGCAGCCTGGCCCATGTCCTCCTGGCCTGGGCAGGGAGGAATGTGTGGATCCTGCCTGGTTTGCCGAGGCCCTGCTCACAGCTTCACTTACATTTTCTGCCTGTCGTGCTGGATGGACCCACGTGGTTGCTGAGGTGCCTTCATCCACTGGCGTCCTGGAAAAAGCAAAGGAGAGAGGGGACAGCAGTGGTAGCACCCAGCCAGGCTCCTGATGGGAACAGAACTGGGAGCCTTTCCCAGCACCTACCTCCCCAGGCTGCCAGTGCCACCCAGTGCCCAGATGGGAGCTGGTGGATTACCCGCACTGCCCATTAACAGAACATTGCCCCCTCCTCAGCCACTGGTTCCCTGTGCCCCTCCACAATTCCCAGCCCCTACCTTCTGGGCTCTCTCCCTCACTCCCACTGGCACTTTGGTCCTCTGCTTCCCCCAGCAGCTCGGGACTGTCCCCACTGTTCCACCGCCACGGCAGCTCCTGCAGCTGGAGCAGGGTGTGAGGGGCTGGGGTGGCACCCCCAGGCTGGCACCCCCGGGCAATCCCAGGGCACTCACCCGTTGGCGCAGGCTCTGCTGTTCCCGCAGCAGCTCCAGGAACCGGCTGCTCCACAGAAGCTTCTCAGCCCCCAGCTCGGTGCAGAGGAATCGGACATCGGCCTCCAGAGCCTCCAGCCTCCCCAGCATGGCCTCGCTGGCCCCGCCGTGCCACTGCCCTGGCACCACAGCTCAGCTCCTGCCACCCCCCACGGCACCGGCCAGCCCCAGGGACACCCCTGGGCCGGGACCCACCTGTCCGTCCAGGCTCCCAGGCAGAATCGGAGTCCACATCCTTCTCCTCCTCCTCCTCACTCCCCTCCAGTCTAAGCTGCAGAGCTGTGCCGAGCTGGAAGCCAACACGGATAGTGGGGGCTCGCAGGTCCAAGGGCAGCTGAGCCCAATGTCCCCTGGCACCAGCCCTGCCTGGGGAGCCCCCCCGGTGCCACCCAGCAGGCGCTGTCACCGGGCTCAGCTCCCCCGGGGGGTGGAGAGCAGCCCGGTCTCTCCCACCGGGAGTTACCTCCTCGGTGACCTGGAAGGCGCCATCCCAGCAGCTCTTGTAGCACATCAGCAGCACCTGCGGGAGAGGAGGGCTCACACCCACCCTGCGCAGGGCCCGGAGCGGTGTCCCCAGGGCATCCCCAGGGCTCTCGGTGGGCACAACCACACCCACCCGGCGCCTTGAGCCAAGCAGCAGCCCGGGGAGGAGGGTCCCGCTCCCGCACCGGGTGTTGCGGTGAGGCGCTCCCCCGGCTCCAGCTGCAACACCCGCCAGCCCCCCACAGCAGCAGCGGTGCAGCGATTGCACCCCGCCTCCAGCCAGCCCCCCACAGCAGCGGTGCAGCGATCGCACCCCAGCAGCGCCCCGGCCCCGCGCCCCGCGTGGAGCCGGCAGAGGTTTGGGCAGCTCCCCGGGGCAGGGCTGTGCGGTACCGACCCAGGCCAGGCTCCAGAGCCGCCGCAGTCCCCGCAGCGCCGTCCCGCAGAGCCGCAGGAAGCGGCGGCCCCCGGCGCGCAGCAGCCGCAGCCAGCGGGGCCCGGCCGGGCCGTGCTGCCGGCCCATGGCTCCCGCGGGCCCGCACTCGAGCTCGGGGCTGCCCTCGCCCCGCAGCAGCGATCCCGAGCGTCAAGGGCTGTCCCGGCTCGCCGTGAGCACGGCGAGAGGGGAGCGGGCAGGCGGGACCCCCGCCGCCCTGCCCGCTGCCCCTTTCCCAGCCGTGCCCCTCGGCGGCCAGATGAACGCTGCCTAATCCTCTTGGTGACGAGGCTGTGCAGGGATTAGCGCTTCCCTAACGCTCCACCTTTGGGGTCCACTGCTCTTCTGTGCTTTCCTTTGCTCAGGATTCATCTATCACAAGCAAAGGACTCAGGATATATTTCTAACCGCTATTTTTAGCTTTAACTAGCATTCAGGTAAAGCCTGTGCAGCTCCCTCTGACTCCTGTGCCCAGGCATTGGCCGTCCTGGAGGTCTTTAGTCACTCAGGCTCTTTAGGAAGTAAAACAGAAGTGTTCAGAAGTCAAATGGAAGTTTTAGGCACAACTGCTGGAGTCAGGACCCAGCAGGGAAGAGCTGATCCTTTGGGATCCCTCAGGCTGCAGAACTGGCTGTCCCCTCCTTGGTGACAAACACAGCCAGAGGCAGGAATGGCTGCACTTTGTCCCTGCAGCGCCCCAGTGTGTCACAGGGAATGCAAAGCTGACCCTGCCACACGACCTGATGGCACACAGGCTCCGAGCTACACCAGCCCTTTGCTGCCTCTCCAAAATGTTCCACCCAAAAAGTCTGGCAGCTTTCCTCGAGGACAGAGGTGCAGCAGAGACTTCAGCCTCTGAAACCCAGGTGCTCCAGCCATCCCTGCTTGGAGCAGCAGCTGCAGAACTGGTTTCATACCGAGGCCAGGGAACCAAAACCATCAGCTGAGAATTCTTTTTTCCAGCTATGGAGGAGCAAGGCTTTGTAGTTTATGCTGTTTCCTAGATCTTCCATCCCCCTGCACTTAAACTGTAGCTTAAACCACAGAAGTAGGCCGGCTTTGCAGCTTGGCCTTTAAGCTGCTCTATCCCGACCCCCCCGTGGAGAAGCAGCCGCCAGACCCTGAGCACACCCAGCTCCCTGCAGGATAAGCCAGCTCCCTCCAGGAACAAACACAGAGCTGCCTTGATCCCCAGAGCAGATGCAGCCCTGCTCCCCCACAGTCCCAGACCCCCAACCCCGAGGAGCAGAGGTGCAGCAGAACACACAAACAAACCCTCGGCTGTTCCACGGGCCGTGCACACTCCAGAGACCCAGTGACTCTCCCACGGCCCCCGTCCCAGGGCCCCTTTCCCACATCTCCCTCCAGCAGCAGGGGTTACACAAACACATCCCAGCACGGATAAAGCAATTCCACAGCTCAGTTCAACAGCAGCAGCAAGATCCTGACGTGGCTGCTGTGAGAAGCACCCAGCCGTGATTCCTGTCCCTCTGCAGGACAACCCAGCTGGCTCATCCCTGATCTGCAAGCAATGCCAGCAGAACCATGGACATTCCAGTCATCCCTTGCAGCAGGATCAGCCAAACTCAGCTGGAGAACAGAGCCTGGCACTCCCTGCAGAGCTTAGAACAGCTACCCCAGGAGACAAAGCACCAAGTGAACGTCCCATGGGTCACGGGACAAGGAACAGCTCCAGTGCCAAAGGGGAAGGAAGAATCCCAGCAAGTCCCCATAAAGCAGGTGGACACTAAAAAGCACCAGGAGTCAAAGTTTGGACTGAATAAACCATGAGAAGAGACAAACACGGAACTTTTATTGTTTATGTACAAATGACAGAGGTTTGTATTAAAAAGAGAACCCACCCAAAGTCAGCGACAGTGAAGAGTTGGCTCTGAGTTCTGGCCCTTCCTGCATCTAATGCACTGAGGAATATTGAGAGATGGTGTTTAAAATGGAAGAGAAAAGGGTTAAAATGCCTCCTTCTCTGCTTGAGTAAGAATCAAGAGCTGTTCCACAAAATGAAGAACCTTCCACTGCACGGACTAAACAAAGAAACCCGAAGTCAACTTGTAACTATACACTTCAAAAAAGGCACAACAAAACAAACAAAACAAAACAAAACCAAAAGAAACCAAACCTGCAAAGCTAAATATCAGCAACAAAAGTAATTTAAGTCTCACAAGATGGATGGGACACACTGAATCCTACCCAGTTCCAGTGGAAAAGGAAATGCCTCTCTGTGGGTCTGCAGGTGACAGGGGGCAGCAGTATCAGCCTTTTCAGCAAGTTCCCGACCAAGGTGGAAGCACAGAACAGTCAGGAATTCAGAACTACTACAGCTACTACACCACCTTTGTCTTCCTGCAACTCAGGTGATTTAAAAATGATGCAAAGTACATGGTCCAGGATTTCCTCCCCCCATCCAAGTCCCTTAGAATGAGTCACTCCTGCTGCAGCTGCCATCCTGCTTCAGGGCTTCTCAGTGGGGAGTCACAGACCTAAATCCCAGGAGCATCAGCACTGATGGCTCTAGTAGTCCTGCAGAGAAAGGACAGCACATGCACGTTAACACCTTCCCACCTCCGATTCTGCTCTTGGAGCTGGGGGTCTCAGTCCTCTCTCATCTCACACACCACTAGCTGCAGGCAAAACAGATCTTTTTCTTGTAGCTAAACATTGAAAAGCAGGACCCTTCCAACCTTGAGTATCAACTCAAACCAGATGCTTTTGATGCTCCAGATCATGACAAGATAACAGGATGCAAAGCAGCTTTTTCCACGAGAAGCACACGGGAGTTATCTGTGACCTGGGCTCAGAACAGCCCACCTGGGCTCAGCTGCTGTCACAGCCAGGGGACAATGCTGATGTCACACTGTGACTCCTCAACCACGACAATAAGAACTCAAATGACAGCAGCAGCAGCAGGAGGGTTTTTAAAGCTTGTGAGTCAGCCAGCCCTTCCAGTGAGCAATGAAAACACAGACAGAGCACGGATACTTACGGCTCTTGGCTTTTTGTTTAACTTGAGATCAATCCTGTGGTTGGAAAGACAAGAGAAACGTCCATGTCAATACCTGACCCAACACCAGAGTTACTGCACAGGGCACAGCTAGACAGAGACTACGGTTAATCCATCCATTCCCAGCTGGCTGAGCCAGGGGCTGTTCCCAGGGTTACTGGGCACGAGAGCAGCAGAGGAGAGCCGGGTTATTATTTGCCAAAAAGCAGATTCTATCCACTCCCAGACAGTTAATCAAGGGGCACAATCAATCACAGGGCATTTAGGCAGGTGAACAAGGGGAACTAGGCATGCTTTATGTTAATTTAATCTGCCAGAGGTGTAACTATGCCACAGGTAATTAGCCAGACATAGCGTGAGAGTTATTTACTTGGATAGAGGAGTTAGGATGACAGGGATTATATGAGCCAAAATTACTGAGTTTAGTAAATTTTTCCAAAAGGAAATATCCAAGTGTATACTTATCTCCTTAAGCAGCAAAGCCAAAAGAATCAGTTTTTAAACTAAGTTTTAAAGTTAAAAAGTTTTATCTATTCAAATATGAAACAGAAAGGTAAAGAAGAGTGAAGTTAATTTACAATTTGCTGAAGTTATTAAATAAAATGTTACCTCCATCACGCTTTTCTGTTTTTAAAAAAAACTTCCCAGCCTAACCTAATATACATACCTACAATTAAACAGATAAACTAGGGGTTAGCGAGGTCTCAAAAGGCACATCCGTGTCTACACACTAACAACACAGCACAAGTACTAATTCAAGTCAAACTTACTCAAAGTCATAATCAAACATGCCAGACGGGCTGAGGGGCAGCATTTGAAAGGAAGAAAGCAATAGAAATTAATATACTAATGAATTAAATCAATTAATTGATTAGCCACCCTAGCGAGATTGCTAAAAAATAAAATGAAATAAATAACAAAGCCAGTGTTCAAACACGATCAAGTTCTTCAGATATCTTAACCAGGACTGGACACAAAAAGCACTCTGGCTTGGCACTCCAGTCCCCCTCCCCACTGGATTTCTGGGAACAAGAGGTGTTAGCAGAGGTGGGTTTGGCTCACACGGGGGATTTTGGGAGCTGAAGGAGGGGCAGCTGCCAGACTCAGGGGCAGGACAGGAACCCAAGGGCTTGGAAAACCAAAGTGAGGGGTCAGGAAGCTGGGGAGGGGGCTGGGCTGCCAGGGCAAGGCGAAGCTGCTTCAGGCAGAGGTGACACAGAACTCGGTGCTCAACCCTGCACTGGGCTGCTCCCCGCACACCCCAGCGCTGCTGTCCCTTGGTGGCCCAGGGACGTCTGGGCAGAGCTGAGCACTTTGGTGACTGTCCCACCCCCCATACAGGTGACCTCCAGACACAGCTGTGCCCACAGCTGGCAGGATTGATCATGGAATCCCATTCCAGCACCGCTAAGAGCAAACAGCACTGGGCTGCCTCAAACCCTTGTTAGCCGTGGCAAGAGCCGAGCACACAGAAACCTCCAGCCTGGCCTTGCTGAGGTGTGGCAGGGAGCAGAGGGACAGCACAGCCTCTGCAGCCACACCTGAGGCCCTGTGTGCCCCTGAAGGCAGAGGTCCCCAGAGGGGAAGCCAGCGAGGCCGTGCTCCTGCAGGGCCCTCTCCAGCACCTCCTGCTTCTCCAGAGCGGGGCAGCCAAACCCAGAGTCGTGCTGGCAAGAGGAAGAGCTTCTGAATAAAGAGAAAAGCCAACATTTCTTTTTATTTTTCTCTTTGTCATGCCAGACCCCTCAAGGGACAGACCCACAGGTCTGACTGGAGCACCTGTGGGGTTGTGGGGCTTGGAATGCCCTTGCTGCACGTTGTTGCTGGGGTGTTTTTAACCTGAACATACTCGAGAATTGTTTGGTCTTGTCTGCCAAAATTTAGGGGATAGTCAGTAACAGCAATCACAATTTTAACAGAACTTTTATTACAGACAAATTTAATTATCTTTTTATCGTTTTTAATTCTCTATCTGGCCCTGGTAAGCATTACAAACAGTCAGGTCCTGCCTCGCTGAGCCCCTCGGAGTGTCTGACGGGGCCTGGGAACACAGAAGCTGCCACAGGTGAGCAGGGCAGGGCTCCTCTGTCCAACAGCCCGGCCTGGCAGCAGCAGCCAAAGCTGCACAGGGGGATGTGAAGGAACCCAGAGCCACACAACCTGTTGGGGGACAGCTTCCCCCCAGCTCCTGTCCCTAAAGTCCAGGTCATGGACCAGAGCAAAGAGATTTATGTCGGTTCCAGCACCTGCCCTGCACCCAACCATGTTGTTGGCCATGGTTTGTCCAGGGAGAATATTTTAAAATTTGTTTGAAATGGCAGTTTTCTTAAGCTGTACTTCAGTTTTACAGGTTGTTTCTCTGGACTTGTTCACGGATGTAGTTTCTTGTGTTATTCCTGAACTTCTTCCAAATATCTACAGGCAAAAAAAGAGATTTGAACTTCTTTGGATTCCCAGCTCATGGGGAACCAAAGGGACATCCAGTCCTTTCGGATATTTGCCCAATTCAGGCTGCTGTAGAAAGGAAATTCTGACCTAAGAATTAAAGACATGCTAATGATTCAACACTTAATGAAGGCAAAAAAGGAGTTAAGCATTTTTCAAGCATTGTACCTACCTCGTGTCCCCACCCCACCTGTCCCCAGCCCCCCTTGTAAAGTTTTACCACTTTAAACCCTTTCTCTAATTGCATGGCAGGTCCCTTAAAGAGGAGAGCCTGTCCTTAGGCAGAGCCAACAGCTCAGAGCCAGCCTGCTCAAAGCCAGCACAGACTGGCTCTGAGAGAACTTTTAAAACTCTGTAGTTTTAAAAGCTCCATTACTTCTATAAAATCCTTAGGACCCAGCTTCAGCAATCCTTCCAGACAGCTCTGCAGGGTCTCCTCTCCACGGTGTTCCTCCCTCAGGGCCTGACCACAGGCACTGTCACTGCCAGAGCCTGGGCTGAGGGCACAGGACCAGCTCACTGCCCTCATTACGCCCTAGGGGCAGAGCTGGACAGGTAAATCCAACCAGAAAAGAGTTCAAGGAATCTGTTTCACGTGAATTTCAGGTCAGTTTAATAACAAACACTCTGAGGTGAAGGTGACACAGCAACTCCTCTATGCCAGCACTGAGACTCAGTTGGGATGTGAGAGCTGGAAGGGGCTGGATGGAAATCCAGACACGGGAGTGTCCAAAACCCCAAACACATTCCCATTTGCTTTCCACCCTCCCTCAAACAAAGCACTAACATTCCTGTCCTCCTGGCCTCTGCAGAAACCAAGCAGCAAGCTCAGGAGGTCAGGACCTGCTGGAAGGAATAAGCTTTACCCTGGAGAGATGGGAGAGCTGGAGAAGCTGCCAAGAAGCACAGCTGTGCCACAGCTGGAGTGAGCACCCTGTGCTGCTTGTTTAACTTCCTCAGCACTTTCCCCACCTCTTCCAAAACCAGGAAAACCACCCAAATAACTGACCCCAGTTGCCTGTTGGTTATTCCAACGTGTTACTGGTTCCCCTCAGGCAATAAATTCAATCCAGCCCCAGCCAGCTGTCCAGGTGTGGTGAGCAGGCTGCTGGTCCCACTGACCTGTGTCTGTTTTTGTTCTTTCTCTTTTTGTGGCTGCTGTGGTGGCTCCCAGAGGAAGTGGAGGAAGCAGCTTTCTGAGGCTTCACACCCTGCACGGAGCCATCCAGCTCTTCAGCATCCTCCTGGTTGGGCTCATTCTCCTGGTTGTGGAAGTCTGGAGAAGTGTCACTCTCTGTGCCACTGCCCGGCTCCCCTAGAGCAGGACAAAACCAGGGTGAGCTCCTGGCACAGCCCTGAGTGAGAGAAACAACCCCAGAACAGCAGCAGAGGCAGCTGAGCCCTGCAGCACCAGGTGAGTCACAGAGCCTGGGAAACAGCTCTGCAGGATGCACAGGCAGCTGCTCCTCAGCACTGAGGAACCACATCCTATTTGGAGCTGATCACAAAAAGGTTCCTCAGTGTCCTGGAGGTGAGTGGTCCCTGCCCAGCTCTCCTGTGACTGACACATCTACAGATGCAGGGCTTCAGCTCATCCAGCCTCTTCCTGCACAGAGCACCAAACCAATTTCAATCCCTTTCACACACAATAAAGCTCTCTGAGCCTGGAAGGAACTTGGAAAGTCAGGAGCAGCCTGAGGGCAGCAGACACAGGGACTGGGAAGGGGAGCCAGACCCCAGCCCAGATCTGAGACAGGGCTGAACAGTGGGGAGAGTGTAATTCTTCCCAAATTCAGAGAAAAATTACGAAGGGACTTACGCTTCTCAATGAGCTGGTCCTGCACTCCAGCTAACGCACTGACAGCCTGCAAAACCAAAGGGGAGGTCAAGCCAAGCAGGGATTCACTTCCCAGTGCTCAAAGCACAGAGCCCAGGTCACACAGACACGTCCCTCTGAAGTGCCCGTGGCACCGGGGTCTGGGGCACAGACAAAGCCAGGGGACAGCAGTGACACCAGTGACAGGCACCCTCCCACCCCCAAACATGGAAAGGGGCTTTGGGAGAGCGTGAGGGTGGGATGGGGATGCTTGGGGCAGGGAGCCAGGGCAGGAATGGGATTTCAAACGGGGAAGTCATTCTGCAGGTGATCACAGCAGGACTGAGGCACCAAGGGACAGGGATGGGATGGGGATAAAGCAGGAACAGGAATGGGGACGAGGAAAGGGATGGGAATGGGGACAGGGATGGGATAGGGACAAAACAGGAACAGGGATGGGGACAAGGAAAGGGATGGGAACGGAGACAGGGATGGGGACAGAGATAAACCAGGAACGGGAATGGGGGCAGGGATGGGGACAGGGATAAACCAGGAACGGGAATGGGGGCAGGGATGGGGACAGAGAAAAACCAGGAACGGGAATGGGGGCAGGGATGGGGACAGAGATAAACCAGGAAGAGGAATGGGGACAAGGAAAGGGATGGGAATGGGGACAGGGATGGGGACAGGAATGGGACAGGGATAAAACAGGAGCAGGGATGGGGACAACGAAAGAGATGGGAATGGGGACAGGGATGGGAATAGGGATAGGGACAGGGACGGGATGGGACGGGATGGGATGGGGACAAAGCGGGACCAGGAATGGGGACAGGGATGAGGAGAGGGGTGTGCACAGGGACGGTTACAGGGTCAGGGCTCCTCCCGGCACTCACCGCTGCTGAGGTGACCGAGGATTTGCTGAAGAGCCTCTCGGCCTCCTTGAACTTGCGGTTCCTGCGGTCGTTTTTGCTGTTGGAGTTCCTGAAACAGAGACAGGCGCGATGGCGGGGCCGGGCGGGCGGGGGGGCCCGGGCCGGCGGGCATCGCCTCCGCCCCTCACTCACTTCTGGTTGGTGAGATAGCGATCCCAGCCGCGGATGATGTTGCCGTACATCTGCGTGTCCTCCAGGTAGCTGCCCTCGAAGGCGTAGATCTGCCGCTCCAGGTTTGCCAGCGTCTCCTGCCGGGAACACCGCCGCGCATGGAGCAGGCCCGGCCGCGCCGCTCCGGCCGCGCCGCTCCCCGAGCCGCTCCGCCGCCACCCGCACCGCACCGAGCCCCTCCCCGGCGCTCACCGCCAGCTCCTGCTTGCGTTTCACCAGCTCGGCGAGCTCCCGGCGGGTGTCCGGGATCTGCGGGGGCCCGCCGGCCTTGGCGTGCAGCGCGGCCATGGCGGCGCGGCCTGCGCGGGGCGGGGCGGGGCGATGCCCGCGGCGGCCGCCAGGGGCGGTGGCGAGGCGGGGGGCGGGACCCGGGGACGGCGGCACCGGCACCGGCACCGGCACCGGCACCGGCACCGGCACCGGCACCGGCACCGGCACCGGCACCGAGGGCTGGGACGTTCCGTGGGTTACTGCCTTAATAATTCAGGCATTCCCCATCCTGTGTCTCTAGGCTCACTCCGGAAGGAATGAGGGATTTGTCTTTACAAGCCAGTGTGGGCCTGCTGGTAGGTAAAACCAGCGCTGAGGGAGAAAAGAAACAATGGGAAGGATTCCGCTGATTGATGAATGGAATGAGAGGGATTTGTCTTTACAAACAAACTGGAGGGCTGCTGATAAATAAAGTGGATACTGAGAGATGAAAGAAACAATGGGAAGAACCATAGATTCCATAGGAATTCCACTGATTGACACAAGGAAAAGAAAAAGGTGGGGGGTGTTACATTAAGAGGGGGTCTGTAATACGTGATTTGAGAAATCTGTACCTCTCAAGTACCTCAGTCAGTGAAAAAGAGAGGGAAATGCAGCAGGAAATTGGGATAAAAAGGAGACTGCATCCTCTAACAGTTTGAGAGATCCCAGGGGAAATGCCCCATGGCCTCTCCCTTTATTGGAATAAAATAAAAGGACTCCTCTGTCTCCTTTTTGGACACAAATCTCAGGTGTTTGTGGATGAATTTCCCTGACACCTCCAACCCAAACCCTTCTGTGATCCCATTAAACTGTGTCACTCTGATCCTCTGCAGTGGCACTGGGGGCTGGTTTGCCCTTCTGCAGTACAGCAATTCTGTCACTTCTCATTCCTGTGAGAACCCTGTCAGGGGACACAGAATGAGCCACCCTGGCCACACTCAGGTGAGAAAGGGGAGTGATACAATCCTCCTGTGCTCACAGCCTCTCCAGGATACAAACTGTGCAGTCTTGAACTTGCTTGGTTTCTTTACTACAGAAACAAGTACTGAAACTTCAATTCTTTTGAGGGGGAAAAAAAAAAAAAGACACTAGAAAAATATTACAATTGAAAGCAATCAGGGCTAAATTTACAAATTGTTTATTTAAAAACCCTTGGAGTAGATATAAAGGAGCTCCTCCTGCTCAAACCCCATCCTACCCATCTGAAACCCCACAGCAATGCCCCATATTTACACTACCAATGTGTACAACGAGCACCTTTGTGTACAGTCTGCACACAGCAGGGACGAACAGGTGAGACCACAAACACCCAGGTGAGTCAGTGACGTGTGGGACACACACATTGAACACAGAGCAACGTTGGAGAGACACCAAAAACTGCAGCTCCCAGTGAGTGGGACTGGTGCTTCTCTCCCTAAACACTGACTTCTTTACTGCTAAACAAAGGACTTGGGTAAGTTTTTATAAAAAGAGAACTTAAATAGTGCAAACTGGTTAAAACATGTCACCCTATCAAAGGTGTTTCTGTCTGACACAAACAAACCCTGGGGAGGGGGCAGAAATAAGGGCTCTAGCTTACAGCCCAGTCACTCCACATCCAGGAGTTTCAGCATCATGTGTGGGAACAGGAAACTAGGGTCACAGTCTCATCACCTGAAATTCCAGGAACTGTTTAACTTCTGTTTCACATTCCCTTGTGATTTCCAGGTGGAATTCCAGTGAAATGCCCACCCCTCAGTCACCGTGAGGCAAATTAAATACCCAAAACATACAAATACATGAGGGTCTTTGCCACATATCTGCCATCTTAGCAGTGATCCAGGTAAATTCTCCTGTCAGAACTCCCAACAGGCAGAGGAATTTGGCAAACTACGGAACAGGACGTGAATCTCTAAGTAACCTTTCAGTCTGTAGCATTTCCAAAGGGCTATAACAAAACAAGTCATAAAAATAATTTTCCAGATGCTGTCTGTGTTTGACATGGTTTGCTGGAAGAGTCTGGCAACATCTGTGGAGGGTTTCCAGCACCAGAGTTTTCACATCCAGGTGCTCTTCGGCTTCTTGGGAGAAAAATAAAAATAAAGCTGTATTTCCTGATATGCAAAACTATCAAACATGAATAACGAGCAAAGCCCTCAAAACAAACTACGGGAACAGACCAGCAACAGAGAAAGGACTTTAAGGCAACAAGAGGCATCAGTGCTGCAATGCTCCGTGTTCACATCCCAGTCCCCTTCAACTGCAAGGAGTTTCCCTCCTCTGCCTCTCCCCAGCTTCCTCCTCATCCGTTAACTGTCAGACTCTTCCTCCTTCTCCTCATCCTCGTCATCGTCCTTTGCGTTGGCCTCGGATTTATCCGAGGATTCGTGGAGCAGGACGTACTCCCTGCTGCTGAAGCCAAACTTGAGCACGTCCTTCTCCTTCAGTTCGTAGTAGCGCTGGGGCTCGATGCGCTGGTTGTTGAGGAAGGTGCCGTTCCCCGAGCCCAGGTCGATGATGTAGGGCCTCACCCTGCGGCCCACGGTGCCGTCAGCTCGGGTGTACTCCACCAGCCTGCAAAAAAAACACTGCTCAGCCACCAGAGACTGCAGATGTGTCCCAAAAGCAGGTGAGAAATCGTGCTCTGCGAGGAGGTGGGCTTGTGCAGTGAATGCTCGTGTCCCAAGGAGAGCAACAAGAAACTGAGAGACAGAGCAGGTGCTGAGAGAGGCTGCATCACTGCCTAAAGCTCTGCTGCTGGAACACAGCAGCTCCTGCACTGGGACAGTGTTGTATTTGCTGGGAAAATGCCCTGACGAAGGCAGGAATGATGAATCTGACTCCATGTGCTCAGAAGGCTAATTTATTACTTTCTAATACTATAGTATATTAAAAAATACTATACTAAAGAATACAGAAAATATACTTACAGAAGGCTAAAAAGATAATAATAAAAACTAGTGACTCTGTCCAGAGCCTTGACACAGCTTGGCACCAATTGGCCAAAAAGTCAAAACAACCCACAGCAGAATCCAATGAAACAATCACCTGTGGGTAAACAATCCCCAAACACATTCCGCACATGAGCACAACACAGGAGAAGCAAATTAGATAAGAATTGTTTTCCTTTTCTCTGAGGCTTCTCAGCTTCCCAGGAGAAAAATCCTAGGCAAAGGGATTTGTTCAGAGAACGTGAATGCCACAGGACAGATGCTCTCCAAGAGAACACTGCTGGCAGGAGCCCCCAGTGCATCAGAGCACAGCTCTGTGAGAGCAAACCAACAAACCTCTCCTTGAAATGCTTTTACAGCCCATCACTGTGGGATTCACATTCTCTGAACAGAGAGAGAGAATTCTCTCCCTCAGGTTTTTTCCTGGAGAAGCAGAGAAAAGAATGATCAAAACAATTCTTATCTCATTTGCTGCTCCTGTGTTTGTGCACAAGTGGAATGCATTATGGAAGAATGTTTATCTGAAGTGATTTGGTAATTGGATTCTGGTGTGTTTTGTTTTCTTGACCAATCTCTGCAAGCTGTGTCCTGATGGTCAGTAAGGAGACAGCCACGAGATTTTGTTGAGTTCTTGTTCAGTTTCAGTTTATATGTAGTGTAATATAGTATAGAATAATACAGTATAATAAAGAATTAATCAGCCTTCTGATATCTGGAGTCAGATGCATCATTCTTCCCTTCAGACGTTGGGGTGGCCCTGCAAATCTGATCCGTCACAGCTGCTGGGTTACTCCAGCCTGGACTCACACCCCACGCCGTGTCCAACCCTGCTGTGTGATTTCTCTGCTTGCTGCTGAATTACAGGAATTTCAGATCTATTTGGCCACTGCTGGGATGAGCTGCAGCAGTCACACATAAATTCCACTTCACATGTGCCAACAGCAAACTCCCATGTAAAAACATGGACTAAACTCACTTTTCTAAAAAAAAACCCAAAACTGCATTATCAAAACCAATTCAAAAATCACCTTAAATTCCTTCAAAGCTCCTCCCACTCTCAAGCTCTCATTGGTACTGGAAGATAGCTTATAACTAGGAGTCTTGTAACTTTTTAACCTATACTTACAAACACGAACTAAACTCACTGTTCTTACTTATGTAAAAAAACCCCAAAAAACTGCACTATCAAAACCAACTCAAAAATCTCATCTTCACTTCCTTCCAAATCCCTCCCACTCCTGAGTCTCACTGGTACTGGAAGACAGCTTATAACTAAGAGTCTTGTAAATTTTTAACCTATACTGTAAAAACGTGAACTAAACTCACCTATGTAAAAAAACAAACTGCATTATCAAAACCAATTAAAAACCCTTAAATTCCTTCCAAACCCCTCCCAGTCCCAGCTCTCACCGACAGCTTATAACTAAGTATAACTTGTAACTTTTTAACCTATACTGTAAAATCGTGAACTAAACTCTTTTCTTACTTATGTAGGAAAAAAAAAAACTCCCTGCATTATCAAAACCTATTCAACAATCATCTTAAATTCCTTCCAAACTCCTCTCAGTCCCAAGCTCTCACTGGTACTGGAAGACAGCTTGGAACTAAGAGTCTTGTAACTTTTTAAACTATACTGTAAAAACGTGAACTAAACTAATTTACCTACGTAAAAAACCAAACTGCATTACCAAAACCAATTCAACCCCCTAAATTCCTTGCAAGCCCCTCCCAGTCCCAAGTCTCACCAGCACTGGAAGATGGCTTATAAGAGTTTTGTAAGTTTTTAACCTATACTCACAAACACAAACTAAACTAACTTTTCTTACTTATGTTAAAAAACCCCAGAAAAACCGCATTACCAAAACCAATTCAAAAATCATCTCAAATTTCTTCCAAGCCCCTCCCACTCCCTGAGCTCTCACTGGTACTGGAAGACAGCTTGTAAGAGTCATATAACCTTTTAACCTATACTGTAAAAACGTGAACTAAACTCACTGTTCTCACTTATGTAACAAAAACCTCCAAATAACTGCATTACCAAAACCAATTCAAAAATCATCTCAAATTCCTTCCAAGCCCCTCCCACTCCCGAGTCTCACCGGTACTGGAAGACGGCGTGCTGCTTGGAGCAGGAGGGGTGGTCGATGGGGATGTCGGCGATGCGGCGGTGCCGGCCCAGCAGGTAGGCGCTCTGCCTGTGGATGTACATCACGGGCAGGAACTCGTCGTTCTTGAAGGGGTACAGCCGCCAGCGCGTCTTGGGGATGCGCGCCTCGGGCGGCTCGCTGTACTTGATCACCACGCCCCGGAAGGTGTTGGTGTCCTCCAGCAGCGCCCCCGACAGCTCGAAGCTCGGCTTCTCCTTGCTGGCGGCGGGTTTGTCTTTGGCTTTGTCCTCCGGCTGCCAGGGCTCCGCGTTGGGCTCGCCGCTGCCCTGGCGGTGCTCTCGCCTCCTCTCGTTGTGCAGCTCCCTCTCCGCCTGCTGCTCGCGCAGGTTCTGCGCGTCCCGCTCGTGGTTTCGAGCTCCCGGCCTGTCGCTGGGGTTCCTCTTCCTGTCCCAGTGCTCCTTGTGCCTGTCCCCGCTCCTGTCCCGCTCCCGCCGCTGCTCCTGCTCTGCCGGGTGCCGCTGCTTCCGCTCCTCGTTGCCCCTGCGGCAGTGATCCTCTCGCTCCTGGGAGGGACAACCGCAATCAAGGAGCAGCACAGCTACCTCGGCCTTTCAGAAAATCCCAGCCCCACACACTGGGGATGCGTGCGTGCGGCTCTGACACCACGTGGAACGCGTTTCCTTGCCAAAGTGCTTGGGTTCCCGCAATTTGCACGGAATAAAGCAGCAGAAACAGTGTAGGCTGCTCTGGGGAAAGGGCACAGCTCGCAGGGACGCCTGAGCTGTGGCACAGGCGAGGCTCCGACAGGAGCTGCAGCCCCGGGTGGCACAGCCTGAGCTGGGCAGCGGGAGCTCCTGACTCGCCCGGATCCTCCCTCTGCTCACGGGACACCACGCGGGGCCCAGTCGGAGCTGACAAATGAAGAGGCGCCCTCTGTACCCGCCATGGCCGAGCCTCCGTGAACCGCGCCCGCCGCGCCCCGCTGTACCGACAGCCCCACTCACCTGCTTCACCCTCACGGCGCCGTGGTGCGGGCTGTGGCTGCGGCTCCTCCTGCCTCGCGGGGAGCGGCTCCTCCTCCCGGACCTGCTCCTCCGCCGGGGCGACCTGGGGAACAACGGGAAGGGTTGAGCGGCGGGGCCGGGCCGAGCGTGAGGCCGAGCGGCTGGGCCTCCCTACCTGCTGCCCGCGCGCGGTCCTGCCGGGCCCCGCCGCTCCTCGCTCGGCGGCGACGGACTGCGACGGGGGCTTCGCCGCTCGGCTTTCACCGCCACCTCCCGCCGCCGTCGCCGCTCTCTCCGCCGCTCCTCCGCCGCTGCCTCCATGGCGCCCGTCCCGACGGAAGTGTCGCTACTTCCGGCCCGCCAGCGCTTCCGCCCGTCGGCCCTTCCGCTCGGGCGTTGCTGCGCCTGCGCGGGGCCGCGCGGTCGCCATGGTGACAGGGCCGCGGCCGCCATGGCGGCGCCGCCGGAGTCGCTGCTGCGGTACTGCCCGCCCGTGCTGGTGTCCCGCCGAGGAGACAGGGCCTCCGCGGGGGTGAGCGCCCACGGGGGCACGCAGCGGGGTACCGCGCTCCGCCGGGGCTGAGCGGGCCGGTGGCCGAGCGTGCCGCGGTGCCCTGGCCGCTCCTACAGCGCTGTCCCGTCGTGTTCCCGCAGGGTCAGGCCCCGCGCAGCGCCGCCGGCTTCTCCTCCACGCCGCAGCCGCAGGAGCTCCTGAACGCCATCCTGCCGCCGCGGTGAGCGGGGCCGGGCCGGGGCCGGCGGGGCCCGCGGGGCGCCCGGTGACTCCGGTAACGGCCGGTGCTTGTCTGGCAGGGAGTGGGAGGAGGCGCAGAAGCTGTGGGTGCAGGAGGTGTCCACCGCGCCCAGCACCCGCCGGGACGTCGTGCAGCTGCAGGAGCAGCTGGACCGGCAGCTGCAGCAGCGGCAGGCGCGGGAGACCGGGCTGTGCCCCGTGCGCCGGGAGCTCTACACGCAGTGCTTCGGTCAGTGCCCGCCGGGCCCGCGGGTCCCGCTCTGGGGACGGCCTGGCGGGACATGCCTGCACCTGGAAAACCTTATATCCTCGTAGTTATCCTCTTAGCTCTTAGCTAAATAAGTTTATTTAGAGTAACTTAAAGCCGTGTGTGTGTTACACGCTCCAGTGACGCTCCCAAAGGGGAGGGTGGCCCGGGTTGGAGAGCAGGATCCTCTGAGGGCTCCCCCATCACTGCAACAAGTCGTGTTTCACGTTTTGAAGTGTTTGCTGTTGCAGCTTTAGGGGATCTGCATCACTGGCATTGCCTGAAGGGCTGCACCACCACTCTGCTTGTACCTGCTGCACTCAATGCTGCGGCTGCAGTGTAACAAAATAATCAGTTATTGCTGTCTCTAGTACATATAATGTGCTAAATGTGGGCCCATTTACCCCAAAGGCCCACATTTACCTTTCCAGGACTCTCTCTATTCCCTCAGAACCCTCTTTATCCTTCTATATAAAAGTTAAAGCTTAAGGCATCACTTCCAGGATTTCATTTCCCCCTCAGTGCCCCATTTACCCTTCCAGAACCCCATTTCTTCTTTGAAAACTGCTTTTACCCTTCCAGGACCCCATTTATTCTCTGATGACCCTCTTTACTCTCCATGACCCTTCAGGGCCCCATTTGCCCTTCCAGAGCCCTATTTTACACCGTCACGTAATAGGAACACTTACTATTAGCAGTCTTAAGCTGCTCCAAGGGAAATACAGGTTTGATATTAGGAAAAAGTTTTTTTATGGAAAGGGTGATAAAGTACTGGAATGGTCTGCCTGGGGAGGTGGCAGAGCCACCATCCCTGGGTGTGTTTAAAAAGAGGTTGGGTGTGGCGCTCAGTGAGGTGTTAGGGCTGAGTTGGAGTTGATGATTTTGAAGGTCTCTTCCAGCCTGGCGATTCTGTGAATTCTGTGTGCGATTCTGTGTGTGATTCTATGTGTGATTCTGTGATTCCATGATTCCATGTGTGATTCTGTGTATGATTCTGTGAGTGATTCAGTGTGTGATTCCATGATTCAGTGTGTGATTCCGTGTATGATTCTGTGTGTGATTCTGTGAGTGATTGGGTGATTCCGTGTGTGATTCCGGATTCCGTGTGTGATTCTGTGAGTGATTCCGTGGGTGATTCCGTGAGTGATGCTATGAGTGATTCCGTGTATGATGCTGTAAGTGATTCTGTGTGTGATTCCATGTGTGATTCCGTGTGTGATTCCGTGTGTGATTCTGTGAGTGATTCTGTGTGTGATTCTGTGAGTGATTCCATGAGTGATTCAGTGTGTGATTCCATGATTCCGTATGTGATTCCGTGTATGATTCTGTGAGTGATTCTGTGTGCAATTGGGTGATTCAGTGATTCCGTGTGTGATTCCGTGAGTGATTCTGTGTGTGATTCTGTGTGCGATTGGGTGATTCCGTGTGTGATTCCGTGTGTGATTCCGTGAGTGATTCCGTGAGTGACTCCGTGTGATTCTCTGTGTGATTCCGCGTCCCTGGCTGTGTGGCACAGTGGGTGGGTGAGTGTCAGCACAACAGTTCCCCAGCCGGGTAAACAGTGACATAGACTCCATGCATTTTACAGAAGGCTGATAATTTCTTAAGAAACCCATTACTTTTTTATACCCTACTTTACCACAGGCAGACCTAATTGATCCTTTACTTAAAACACCATCACCACTGCCTAATTAAGAAGCCCCCCCTTTGGCAAACACGTCTCCATAACCCATCCCACAAATCAGCTGCAGCAAGTCAAGATAAGAATCATTTCTCATTCTTTATGACTCCTCAGCCTTCCCCAGAAGGATATCTAGGACAGCTGTCTCTCTCCCAGTCTCCCTGTTCCTCCCAGCGGCCAGAGAGCCGTTGCCTGGTTCTCCCGCAGCCGCAGGCAGAGGCACTGCAGGCTGCGTTGCTCCCTTGCAGACGAGCTGATCCGGCAGAGCACGGTGAGCTGCGCGGAGCGGGGGCTGCTGCTGCTGCGCGTGCGGGACGAGCTGCGCCTGACGCTCTCGGCCTACCAGGCGCTCTACGAGAGCAGCGTGGCCTTCGGCGTGCGCAAGGCGCTGCAGGCCGAGCAGGGCAAGGCCCACCTGGAGAAAAGGGTGAGGAAGCCTGTGGCGGGGGCTCCCGGGATGAGACTGGAATCTTGACTTCATGTTTCAGAAGGTTGATTTATTATACCTGCAGAAAAGGGTCTAAAGGCCACGGGCTGTAAGCTTGTTTCCTTTCCCATAGTCTGCACAGTTTAAAGCAAAGAGTTTTAGAGTTTAAAATACAGAAAAAATAAAAATAGTTACAAAAGTAAAAAAAAAGAAATTAAAATGTAATACTTAAAATGTAAGGCTTAAAATGTAAAATGCGAGTTTGTGTATTATAACATGATTAACTAAGTTTACAGTGTAACATAAATCTAGAAGATAAAATATTTAAAGATTAAGTAAAAAATATGTTTTATTAATTAAAAATATGTTTTATTAAATAATAATTAATAATTAGTAAATTAATAATATAGTAATTATAATTAATAAATATCACTTTTATTTATTAATAAATCTTTTAAAAGTCTTATAACTAAGAGCCTTGTAACGTTTCAACCTATACTGTAAAAACATGAACTAAATGCACTAATTTGGTAATTCCAAACCTCCAAACCTTCATTTGCTAATTCCAAACCTCCACCTTCCACCCTGACACCTTCCTGTTCGCCTTGCAGTGCTTAAGTCAAGTTTGTGTTGTGGTGGTAATTTTATCAGAAGATCCTTCTTTGATAGTGTTTAGAGAATTTCTGCTCTTTAAATCTTTAGGAGGCTTTTTTAAAGCTTCCAATTGTACAACGGATTCTAAATAATTACATTAAAAACATAGTCCACTCTCTCTGCTCGCCATGTATGAACTATGATACTGAATTTCTCTCTCTTTTACTGTTGAAAACAATGCAAAATCATAGTTTAATTAGTCCTAGTATCCCAATTAATATAATACAATTATTTTACTGAAACCTGTTATCTTTTTTCAAGTCTTCACTGAAAATTAAAGTGAGACAACGTGAGTGATGCCTTGGGGCCCCGTGACGGAGCTTTCTGCACGTGAAAATAGCAAATTTTATATCCTTAAACTTACTGCTTCCGTTTCCACAGGAGGGCAGCAAAGACCACGAAAGTCCTCGGGCTTAGCTGCACTTCTGGAGCTGATTGTGCAGCTTTAAAGACTGCACCACACACCACTTTGTCCTGATGCCTTAAATTTCAGCTCTGGTATTTTTCAGATTCTGCACTGCATTAGTATATAACTCTGAACTTCATACAGAGTGTTAGGAAGCTCTCTTCACAGTTTAGTTAGACAAAACAGTCATTTTTCCTGAGAACATCATTATAGCTTCAGGCCCAAAAAGTATGAACAGCAAATTGAGGAGAGCAAACTGGGAGGATGTGACCTCATAACCTGAAGCTGTAATTGGACAATTAACCCCATATGGAAATGGACCAATACTTATAAAAGTGTGAAAACTCTTGACCTGTGGTGCATTTTGGGTGTAGCCACGACCAGGCTCTTGTACTGCCCAAGATGTATCCTTTGAAGGGCTTTTAATAAAACCTCCTTCATTCCTTTAACTCTGTCTAGCCTCTGTTCTAGGTAGCCTCTCAAGGTATCAGTCCTGTCTGAACTGAAAACTGACTGTTTGCCAACAAAACTTGAGACATCTGTACTCTTTTCCAAGATTGCAGAGCTGGAAGAGGAAAAGGAGGCGCTGGAAAAACAAGTGAGTGAAGAGAAAGCGAAATGTGAGGCCATTGAAAGGCAAGAAACCGAACGGCGAGAAATAGAAGAGAAGAAACACAGCGAAGAGGTTCTGTTCCTCAAACGGACAAACCAGCAGCTGAAGGTCAGTAAAAAGCCAGAATTCCAAATACTAGTGGTAAAATTCTCATTAAAACCATTAAAGCCCTAGTAACACAACACACCATTTAACATTAATATTACCCAAGAACAACTGTGCAGAGACTGGATAATTATTTGTGCTTGTGGCTTTGGGGAGAACAGAGCTTCTGCTCTGTACTTTGTTTTTAAAAGGAAAAAAAAAATCCCACATCTTTTGAGTAAGGAAAGAATGTCACCCTGAACAGCATCAAATGTTTCTGGCTACAGCTAAAAACATTTCCCTTAGAGCAAGCTGCTTTTCCTGCAGATCCTACTTTTTAACTCGCATTTTCAGACTGCCTTGGAATGTTTTAGGACACAAAATCTTAGATCAGATGCATGTTGCCCCTGAATCCAATCCTTCCTTGAAGTACCTGTGCTTGACCAGCTGTGTGTGCCACTGCTGAGGGTTACTGTAGCTGCTCCCATCCACTGGCATCAAATTTTCTCAGTAATCACAAAACTTGCTGTTCCCAGCTACTCCTGTCCCAGAGTCAGTTCACGTTCCAAATGCTAGAGAGCCAAATACTTAATTTAGCTCACATAGTCCAGCTTCAAATCAGAGAATTCAGACCACTGTTTCAACAGCTTTTATTTAATTTCCCCCTCGATGCTTCACATTCTAAACAGAGTGTCTCATCGTACAGAGCCAAGGCCAGCTCTCTTCTCCTCAGAATGCAACAAGTGTGCATGCCAGGAACGACAAACTAATTTATAAAACATGTAGCAATGGAATTGCTGGGGAACAAACCTGGCCTGGCTCTGCTGGCAGCAGCACAGCATCCCTCAGCTCCTTGCTGTGAACATCCAACAGAAAATTTAGCCCTTCACAGCACTGAGGGTTTATTTTTTAGGTTAGGAAATCTAATTTGTCTCACTGTCTCATTTGTTTTTCAGGCCCAACTTGAATGCATCATTACAGCAAAGAATTAATTGTTTTGTTGTCCTCAAGGCAGGCTCAGAAGAGCTGTCAGAGCAAGAAGCTTGCAATTAGTGACAAAGATTTGTCTTCCTAAAATGATCTTGAGTTTTCACTTACCAGTAACAGCAGGCAGTGTAACTGTGTTCTTTCTTTCTCTCTTGAAGAGCTGAAATTCAAGAGCTCCATTAATTACTGCTCCCTCCTTCAGAGCCATCTTAGCAGTCAGCTCTTTGAACAGTGAACTTGCCTGTTGGTACTGTGCTAATGACCTTCAAAGCAATAACTAATAAACATTTTTAAATGCAAACATCTCTGACATTAATTTGGAAATGTTGTAGAAGATTCAGAAACAATATAGAAGTGCCTACAAGAAAAGTAAGTCACATGTACCAAGAAAGAAATGGCAGCTCACTCTTGGGACAGGTGTCTTGGGGGCATTTCCTTGAGTACCTGCAAGCTGCTGTCAGCTGTACGTGGAAATCCCTTGTCAGAACCATCAGCAGTAACTGAGCCCAGGCAACACCAGAGCTCTGGGTGTGATTGTTCCTGGTGAAATGAAGGGGGACAATGGCAGTCACAGATTCACTTCTCAATGGAAGCAAATTAAATTCCTGCTTGAGGTACCTCTGTGAGCAGCTGGTTACACAGAAGGTGAACAAGGGAAAGAGAATTCCCTGTAACCATGTGAAAACCCCATAAAGCCAGTTTCCAGAACAAACCCACCCAAACCCCACCACTGAGCAACACTGGAATAGCTGTTTGGCTACTGCAGTGTTTGCTGGCCTGGGACAGCGATGTGGAAATACCATCAGCTCCAACTGCACAAAGAACTTTCAGATGATGCAGAAACAAAGAGAGAGATGCTGCTCCTGGGGCCAGGACAGACCGGTCACACTGGGCTTTGAACAGGAACCGCAAGTTTTATAGTAAAAAAAGCCACCGCATACTAGAGCTGTTTTATGTAAAATTTAATAGAATAAGCAGCTATTGCTTATGTTTGTATTTTTTCTGCTTTGATCTTTGTCCCTCCAAGCCAGTTTTTTTCTTGTTCTTATTCTTATTTTTCACGTTGTGAGTTTCATAATACCGGACTCCGACTTTCTTGGAGCGCTGCTGCCTCTCGGCTCGTCTCCTCTGCAAACACAAAACACATTAGCAAATCCCCAGCATCCAGAGCCTCAGTGTCTGCAACTCTCCAATGGTGTTCACTTTGCATTCCACACACGTTAAGTAAAATAAATAATTTCAAACAAAATGTTACTGATGTGACTCTATACAGAACCCACCCTCCGTGGTCTTACGAGAGTAAGCTCTGCTCCAGTCTTTGCAGCAAGATACAAGAATCAATCTGGTGTGCACAGTCAGGTAAGAGGGGGGTGACAGAAGCTGTCACAGAACATTCATAACACAATTCAGTTTTCATTCCCCTTCTGCTCATGCCCAAGTCTCAAAGCTCTTTGGTGACAACAGGCTCTTTAGTGATATCGCCAAGGATAAAAAAGCCAGCTTATTTCCCTGCTCAGCTGTACCACAGGAAAGCACACTTACTTCTTTGGATGTGAGCTTCTTACAAGGCTGTTTACCCAACTGGTCATCATCATCATCATCATTTTCCTCTTCTTCCTTCTTCTTTCTTTTCTTCTCTATGCTGCCTGCAAACAGCAGAGATACACACTTGGTATCTTCCAGAACACTCATTAGTTTGAAGACCTTCAGGCTGAGGTCACCATTTCAACTCCTTGAGCAACACATTCCCTTGGCTGTATTTAAGAACTTCTACCAAAACAACATGAATGTTCCTCACAAGGGAATCACAGCTATTACAGTGAAAACTGCTCTCGAGAAGCAGGTTGCTCCAGCCCCATCCAAGTCCAGGAGAATTCCACAGTCCTGTCAGGACAGGGCTCTGCCACCTGATTGTGCCTTTACTCAAACTGACTACAACAACTGAAGCCTTGGTAAAAACCTACAGCCTGAAGTATCTCTGCTTTTATAACATCCCAAACCCCATCCACTCCTTCCTGTAACACCCAGGGCTGCTCTGGCTGCAGCCTGCCAGGAGCCCAGGCTGCTGGAACACGAAACTTGCCTTCACTGGATCTTCCCTCACTGAGAGGGACATCTCCCATCACACAGACAGCTGTTCCACAGGAAGGCTACACCAGGTGAGCAGCAGCCCTTGGGACAGCTAAAGGGAGATTTAAGTAGTTTTAGGGGAAAAGATCTTGCATGCAGGATCCAGTGGATGCTTCTCCCCTTAACGCTATTTTTTTTCCTCTGGCTCATAGGATTTCCAAATGTAGATTAAGAACATCTACTAATCTTGTTTTACCTCTGTCTTCAGTTTCTTTGGGTTCTTCATCCTTCTGCATGTATTTTGCAAACACTGTGTCACTCAGTCTCTTGGGGATTCTATGGAAGATAAAACCAGCAATAAAAGATTGTTGTTACACAAACAGTGACCACCTCTGAGAAGCCATCAGACTCCAGCAGATCCCAGTCCCCTGTCAGCATCAAAGCCAGTCTCTGCAGCAGGATATTGCAATACCCTTGCTGCTGGAGTTACTGTGCTTGTGTGCTATATGAGAGAGAAAATCTAGCACTTAAACATTGAAATCTCTCTCCTCACAAGGCTGGTGGGTGAGCTTTGCTAAAACTGGGCCTGCTGTATGGGCCAGGATTCACTGCACAGGCATATCCATTGGGATTACCCAACATAAGGAGATCCAAGGATGCAGTACTGCTGCCCACATAACCAAGATAATGCTAACTCTAATCCATAGTTTAGGAGGCAGCTTTCCAAAAGTGAGAACATTTTAAATTTGCTGGTAAATAGCAGCTCTTGGAATAATCTTTCAAAAACAAACTGCTACTTGACCCAATTCCCAACCCTTACAGCTAAGCCAGATAAACTGTGGCAATTTATGTGTGTCAAGCAAGTCAGAAATGGAGTCAATCTACAGCAGAGCCTCATCAACCCTTTCCCCCCTGCAATGTATTGGGCAGATTCAGGTACCTTATTGCTGAGAATCTCTTGGCCTTGGCTTTATCCAAAAATTTTCTGTATTTTGCAATCTTGTCCTCCAAAGCCTTAAGAACTGCTTTAGAGCTCTCCTGGACACCTGGTGCAGCCACCTGCAATTCCTCCTCTCCTGGATCCTGATGTTCCTCATTCTCCTCTTCCTCCTCCTCCATTCCTCCTCCTCCTCCTGCTCCTCCTCTCCAGATGAATCATCGTCTGCGTCATCAAAACCTGGCACATCCACAGGAACCAGGTCTTCTTCTGAGAACTGAGGTGCCACGTTAATCCTGCCGAAGTTCTGCCGAATGTGGGACATGAGCTGGCTGATTTCGGTGTTTGTGTTGTTCCCCTCTTCTGCTGGCTCCACATCTGGTGCCACCAACTCAGGGACATTCTCCTCAGTCTTATCTTGGCTGGATGTCACAGCTGCTTCCAACACAGGAGGCTGCAAGGAAAAGCAAGATGTATTATCCCCAAAGCCTGTCCCACTATCTTCAGGATCAACTTCCATTTTCTGTTGTTAGAAAAAGCCTAAGATAACAACATAATTTCTGACATTTCTGGTAGTAATGACTCAGACATCTCTGTGAAGAGCACTGCTACCTGGTCCTCACCAAACTCAGGTGTCACCTGAAGGACCATGCTTGGGCAGAGCCTGGGACATGCACTGCCCAAGGTCCATGGCACTCTGGGAAAAGCAGCAGTGAACACCATCAGGAAAATCAAGTATGTGGAAAGAGGAGGCACAAGCATCACATTCTTACCTGGGGACCTGGTTGACCTGCTTGATCTGGTTCTGCAAATGGTGGCATCACAAAGAAAGGGATTCTGCCCCTCTGCCAGTCATTGAGAACCATCTTGCTCACAGTCTGCAAGTCAGGCTCACCACCCTGAGAAAAACAGAACAGTTTATGTCCATGTTTGACACACAGCCCCCCCATGCCTCGTGAGCAACAGAAACATTTCCCATGTTCAGAACAGGCCACAGGCTCTTCCAGCCCTCAAATACAGGAAGCTGGCACACCTTTAGCAGTTTTCCAGTCCTAGCAGCAAGTTTCTCAAGGAAGTCTTCTGTATCTGTCCAGCAATCAATTTTGTATGTCTTCCTGATGTACTCTGCTTTGGCTCTTTCCAGCACAGCACCAATATGGTCTTCAGGGCTCTTAATCTTCTCAACTTGAACCTGAAAAACCACAGCAGAGGATCAGCAGAGGATCAACCCTCCGAGACCATCACAGTGCCAACAAGCAAAGGCTTCCAGCACCCAGTGCAGACACATACCACTCCCTTCAGCACAATGTCTGTCTCTGAGTCTCCTGATGGATAAACCACCCCAGGGCAGTCGATGAGAAAGATCCGCCGCATCAAGGTGATGTACTGCCACACCTGGAAGAGATCAGCAGCTCCCCATCAGCACCTGCACACAGGCCTTGCTTCATTTTTGAAGACCAATCAGAGAAACAAAGCCTGACCCAGCATTTGGATCAGGAGAGCACAGACAGGGAGTGAGGGCAGCTGAGCTTCCCACCACAGCCCTGCAGTATGACAGTGTGGGAATTGGGGAATGCTGCCTCAGAGCAGGGACTGTCCATGAGCCCCTCCTCAGGGTCACACAACCTGTGCAGGTCAGTGCAGAACCTGACAAGGTCAGCAGGCTGATTTCACATGACCACATTTGTATCTTTAACACTGGGCTGTTCCTACCTTTGTTTCCCCTGCAATGGGGGCCACGCTGCAGACCTTCTTGGAGCGTAGGGTATTGATCACTGAGCTCTTGCCAACGTTGGGGTAACCAATGAATCCCACACTGATCTGCTTCTTGTCAGAGTGTAACTGGTGAGAAATAACAGATCCTTTTATATCTTGGAGTGAGGGACAGAATTACCACTGCAGTTCTGAACCCCGAACGCTAACAAAGCAAAAGACCACACACAGTAACCCCCCAAACCAACCACAGATCCCCAAAATTGTTTTGTACCTTTCCAAACTGCCTTAGGAGCTGTATGAAAGCACCTTTGCCGAATGGGTTTGTGAGGCTGGCGTGGAAAGCCAGTGTTGGATACTCCTGGGAAAGGACAGCAACCCAGCGCTTCTGGAGAGGCAAAGGGGACTGGGTTAGAGACTGGGGCTGGACAGTGACACTGTGAG